ATAAATCTTACTAATAATAATTATATAAAAGGTATCGATAGAGGTAAATTTATTGCCAGTCTTTAAATAAATAATTATATCTAAAATATAGTATAAATAAGGAATTTTATAAATAATATTAACCGGGTTAGTATATAGATTAGAAGGATAAGGGAGAAATTATATTAATTTTAAAGAATTATAAAATTAAGAAAATTATAAAGGAAGCGGGCGAAGGCTGCGGACTCCAAATATACTAGAGACGTAGGGCCTAGGGATAATTTAAGGGAAGAAACTTCTATATTAGAAATTAAATCGATTGGGTTAGGGTAATAATAGTTAAAAAAAACTATTTTAGACGAAAATTACAATAGGGAAGAAGGAGGATAGAAACTAAGAAGGGGTACTATAGGGGGGATTATATAAAGGAAGGAGAAAGCTATTATACTATTATAACTAAAGGTAGAATTATAAGGTAGGAAGTAAAAGTCTGGGGTAGAAGTAATTATAGATAGAATAAAAAAATAGGAAAGTATAATAATAAATAGGAAGATAGGATAGGGTAGTAGGGAAAAAGTAGAAGAAAGGGCGGTAGATATTAGGATAGAGGGATAGTAAAAGGAAGCAGCGCTCTAAATCTAAATCCTATTCCTATTATTCTTATTAGAATAACGTAGCGGTAGGAGAGACGAAATTAATTTGCTATAATAGTAAGTAAGAACTATTATAATTGTAAATAAAGTACGAGCGGCGTAAAACCTACGACCGAAATATAATTAGGGGGTTTCATCCGGCGGCGCTTAACGCCGTACGGTTTTCCCCTCTAGGGAATTAGAGAAGGACTCTATGCCAAAAAGGCACTATAGTTATATAGTATAGGGAACAAGATTATTATTATTATTATATATTTTTTATCCTTACTTATTTTAAATATATTTCCTATATTACTTATAGGGTCTAATGATTTTCTTCTATAGTACGTATTATTATAATAATATTGGTATTATTTATAAAGCTCATTATAATTAGATTTAGAATTATAATTAACTTTCGGTATAGTAAGGTAATAAAGAGAATAAATAGAATAGAGGAGAGGAGGGAATTTTGGGCTATATTTATAGTAATAGTATAGGGGCGGGATATTTCGTTATTACAGAAGAATGAACCTTTTCTATTAGTAATGAAATTAATTACTTATTTAATAATTTATATCGGGAACCGTATTTCCTACAGGGTATATAGTAATTACCTATAGTTAATTCTATTAAACGCCCTTTTTAAATTGAAGAGTATAAGGGATATTATAGCCCTAAACTTTTAAATTATATATATTATATTAATAATTACCCGGATTATAAATTCTATTAAATAGTTTATTCGGTTATCTATTTAGGCCTCCGGTAGAAGATTGAATTCTTCGGCTACTTATATAAATCTCTTAACCATTAGTACTTTAAAGATTTTTTGAATATTATTAAATAGCGATATAAACCTTTATACGCCCGCTAGTTTTTGTTAAGTAGTATTCCTTCTGGGTTTTTTAACGATAATTATTTTTGAATCTTTAAATAGCTATAGCAAATATTTAAATTGGAGGTTAACGGATATTAAATATACTATAATTTATTAGAATAATTATTTATATAACTTTAAAGACCTATTTAAATACTGATTAACCCCGGGGGCCGTATTAGGCGCTATCCGGGAGAATACATTTTAAATATCCTTTCTAATAGTTAATTTACTAATAGTTAATAGGTTAATATTATTTAGTAATTTAATTTAATTCGGTATATAATTTATAAGAATATTTACTTTCGGGAAAAAGCGGTCGGTAAGAATTTCGGCTTTACTATTATAATTTCCGATTTCTATTACCCCTTCGTAAATTTAAAGGGCTGGTAATTTGAGTAAATCTATTAATCAGTAATTTTCAATTTAAGTTTACCTCTCGAGTAATTAAAATCTATTCGGGTTCTTTAAGACTCTTATAATACCTTTGCGCTATATAGTTTATCATATTTTTACTATTATTCTCTTCTTCTTTATTATAACTTCGATAGAATCCTTTTAATTTAATATTATCCGGTATTTAAATTATATTTAATATATCCGCTATACCTTTTTTATAATTATTTTATATTTTAATATTTATTAATATACTTTTTTCCTTCTACTTTTCTTTTAGTATAGGACGAATTCCTTTATAATACTTGTAAATTCTCTATCAAATTTACAAAAGGCGAACTTAATGTTTTCTATTATATTAATCCTTTCCGGGACCGAAATCCGTTTTTCCACTACCTCCTTTACTTTTACTATATTTATAAAACTTTACTTATATTCTTCTTCTTTTTCTACTTTTCTATTCCTCTTTTCTAATTGGATTTAGACTTCCTAAGGGTAATAGTCCGAACCGGTTTATTTATACTATCATATCCCCTAATATTCGGTTTCGACCCCGGGTAATAATTATGTATAATTAATTATCCTATCCCTTTCTCCTCGTATTATATTCTTAAATTTCATTAGTTCGCTACGGGGGGTAAATAAATTGAATTTTTAATATTATCCCTACGTAAGGAAGCGAATAGTTCCTAGGCTAGTCCTATTTTTTAGATTTTAATCGGAATAGTAAAAGTTGAAATTCTTGATTATAATTTAGTTTTCTATTAGGGGCCCGGTTTCGAGGAATTCGAAAAGCGGCGACCTCTATTAATATTCTAATATTCCTTATATTAGAATAGGAGAGTAGATAGAATGGACAATTGTTCAATTTCTTTGGTTTTTAAATATTATTATGATTTAATCTTTCTTAAATTACAAATTTAAGTCTTTTAAATTCTATTTTTTATTTATATATATTACTACCTTTCCCCCTTTTAAATAAGTCACCCTGAATTACCTTCCGCCTTTTAGATAGTAAATATTTTCATTTAGGTTTTTACTTAGCTTTTAAATTATTATAATATTGTAGCTCTCCTCTTATTCGAATAGAAATTTCCCTTTTTTATATAATTTCTTTGTATTTTAATAAAGTATTTTTAATTGGACTATTAATTACCCTAAAATAGGGTTCTTTTTAGTTTTATAGTAGAGGATAAAAGTATTATTTTTTAGGGGGGGCTATAGTTATATAGGCGCTATTACCGTTATATATTTAAATCTCTCCTATATTTTATAAATATAGGTAATAAGTATCGATCGGGCCCTATAGGGCTAAAGGTTTTAATAAGGAAGTTTAACTAGTAATTTTCCTTAACTATCCTTGCTTCACGCTTCTTATTAATTATTTCGCTAAGGTAATAATAGTACGGGAATTAGGAAGTGTATTCGGTAGGATATTTTCGTTTATAATCTTTATCATTAGTTCTAATACCTTTTTAATAGGGTTTTATAGGGGGCGAATACTTATAGCCTTTCGGTATACGCAATGAATATTTTTATAATAATTTTCTAAAAAATAGAATATTCTTTATATTAAAACTAAAGTAACCCTTCTTCCTATACGGTTTATAATAAATAAATAATCTATCTTTATTAGAAGGGTAATTTACTTTATTAAAGTAGTTTCTTTTATATTTAACTTCGTTATATTGGGCGTAAATATCTTCCTAACGATAGAATTTTATTATATATCTAATTTTCTAATATTTATAGTTTTATTGGATATTATTCGAAGTTTAGAACGGTTTGTACGGATATATACTACCGTCCTGGAGGAAGAGGTTATCCTAAAGGAAGTACGTTACTAATATAGTAGCGATTTCTATTAGAAGTAGGCTTCTATTCTCTCCGTCCCTTCTCTTCTACGGCCGAATTTTAATAATAGTTATTTTTATATCATTTTTATCAAAATTTCTACTATAGTATAGTTATTAATATTAATTTAGGGTACACTTCGAATTAGTATTCCTATAGTATTTATAGTAATAAAGGTATTCGGACCGAAGATTTCTTTAGCCTATATTTGATTCTACTAATATTAATAATATATAAATTTATTGAATATCATTATATGATTTCTAATTATTAATATTTTAATAATTATATAAATTATTAGGTTAGGTTTCTCTTTATTTAAATTTATCGTTAGGGTTGTTTTTATACTTTTATTCGAATAATTTATAAACTCGGTGGTAATCGTCGCTCCTTTAATTATAAACTACCATTTGAAATTAAGAGAGGTAAACTTTTTAATAATAATAGTAAATAATTATAAAAGGGTAGTACTAATCTTACTCGGGATAGCTTTCGTTATAATATTAGCCTAGTATTTTAATAATTCTTAAGTACCTTTTTTAATCTTTTTTAGAAGATCCTTTTTTAAATTATTAAAATCCCTTTTAATAATAAATTGGTCGGTCCTAAGTTTATTAGCCTCGGGTTATAAGGATTTAATTTTTTTAATATATACCTTTATGAATTCGAGAAATAATTCTTAAGCCTAACGTTAATCCTTAGTCAAAATAGTATCATAGTCCGTAAATTTATTTATTCTAATAATTAACATCTTGAATATTTTATTATTTTCTCCCGTTTTTTCCGAAGTCTTTACAATAAGTACGGCTTTAGGGTCGTTACATACTAAGATTTCCGCAAGCGGGTTGTAGACGCTATTTTCGAACCTACAAACGCCATTATCAATAATTATTAGTAACGACAATACAACGCCGTTGCTACGTTTAATGTAGGATATTATAAGGGATATAAACGACCCTTCTAAATCGATTGCCGTTATTAATTTTCGTTTTAGAGCACTCCTCGATTAGAAATCGGCGTTTCCGGTTTCGGCGTCGTTTTTAATCCCCTTTTTATATGTTAATTTTGTTAGATTAATTATTATTTAATAATTTTCTTTATTTTATATTCGCTAGTTACAATTTCGGTATGATAAAATAGACGATATTAATATAAAATCCCCGCCGCTTATTAATAATAGAATTGTAATTTTCAGTAATTGGATTAACGGTTCTAATTGCGACGGTAATTTATATAGTCTTATTGCAAACTAGTAGTTCGCCCCGCAATCGCTCGAGTACGACCCCCGGTTTAGCGTACTCGTTAATACGGTAAAATACCTTAGTCGTTATACTATTAATAGTATTCCTAGTAGGATTGTTAATTTGGGAATAGATAATATATGCGTTGTATTACTTAATTTTATAGCCGATCTTATTGACTAAATAGACTCCGTCCTATTCGGATAATTCTTTAATTATATTCGTTATAAGTATACTATTAATAAGAATAATAATTTTAATTAAAATCATTATTCCTATAATTATTGAACTATTTCCTCGCTAAATCTTTCTACTTTATTTAAGGCGTTTTTATTTATAACCTTAAGAAAGTGGAAAACGGTAGACGCTTAGTACCGATTATAACTGCCAACTATTTTTTTATATTATATAATAATGAACTATACTCTATTCTTCATAGTACTATCGATCGTACGGATAAATTAATTAATATAAATTCGGTTATTCCATATTCTATTATTAATAATTGTACCTACTTTACGCTTGCCCTTTTCTCGAATAGTCTCCTAAATGATTTAATCCCGGGTAGTTACAATAGATCCTAGTAAAAGTAGGAATTTAATACTCTTATTAGGTTTAACAATACCAAAATCCAGGAGTTGTATTTTAGAAGAAATTTCGAAATAGTTCATATAATTACTATTAAGTTTAGCAATATTATTTTTGAAAGAAAATATATAAAGGAGTTAATTATTATTAGTAAGCGTTTTATAGCCTATTTCCCAGCTACTTTCTATATTGTATATGCTAACGGTTATATTATTAGAAATAATAATATTAATTTTTCTATAATTTAAGAGTACCGGAAGATTATATAGTTAATTAATAAAACTTATAAAACCTTATAACAGTTAGTTAGACCGGTTCTTATTTTATTTCGTACTAAAACCCCGATCGTTAAAATAACTCTAAGAAAAGTACGTAAAATTCTGATCCGAATTGTACAATTGTATTTGGCTACTACTAAGAAGAGTAGTGATAAAGGAAAAATGTATCTGACCTTTACTATTACCTTCGCTAATTATAATTAAAATTGTACTAGTTTTAGCGTTAAAGTTGATTAAAAATTGCGTACGGAAATTAAAAAGGTTATTAAGAAATATATAAAGAATAAGGAGGAATATAAAAGGTAATTTATTAGTAACTATTTTTTTAGAGGTAGTCTACTCGTACTATTAGAAACGTCTTATCGGACTATACTCCACATTTTTTCCCACGTCTAACCCTAACCCTACACGCCCACCACCGACCCGCACCAATCCCGCTCGTACCTCGCCCGCCAAGCTCCCAGATTTCAACCTATTACACTTATTTAGGGGTTATACTAGCCACCCTCGTACTACACTAGCCACCCAACCAATCTAACTTAGCGATTATTCTAACATATACTTTATTGTATTACTTCCTCTACCAAACCACCTATTATTACCCTCATTACCCTCATTAATCTACTATATTACGTATCGCCAATTATCGCTAAATTAATAAAGCGCTCTCATCTAATCAATGGTATGGATTAGTATATTACTTTTCAATACATTTCCCCAGCTAACTATAATACAAATAGCCGATATAGCAACCTAACCCGTATACGATTATAGTACGGGCGACTCTAATTAACTAACGAATATTACCCTAATTGAACCTACTTTTATTTAAATTAAAATCGAGTTGTATAAGACTCCTTCAAATAGCGATTCTAGCAATTCTAACTAATTTAGCAACTCTAGCAATAACAAATCTAATAATAATAATAAAAATAGTAATAAAATTATTAATCTCTAACCTATTATAATCTTTATACTTATAATTTAATATAATACTTTTAAAAGTTTTAAGATATTACTATATTAATAAAATTCGTCTTAAAGTTATAATTATATTAAAATATACTCTTCCAATTATATTACTAACGGCTTTAGTCCGATTAGAATTAATTTTCAATATTCACTTAGCCTTATCCGCTATAGTAAAAAATATTTTCGGTTAATTTTAATTAATAAAAAGGATTACCTTCAGAAGGGGTATATTAAATTATTAGTAGTATATAGTTGCAAATGGATATTTATATTAAAAGAGGATTATTATAATTACCCCCCTAATATTATCCTTTAAATTTGTAGTATCTTTAAAAATAAGTATAAAGCTTTCGTATATATATACTTTATTAAACCACTATTATAAATCGTAAGATCGCTAAAAATGTACGTATAAAGTTCCCTACCCTTGTTTTTACTAAAAGGCAATTTAAAAACCTTTGTTATATTTTAAAAAGGGAGGTAACTATTAATTATAATCCCTTTTAAGCAATTTTTAAAGAACTTAATAAGTAGGGTATCTAATATACCGTCAAATGGGTTAACAATGAACACACTAAACCATATAGTCTTTTTTGGACTTATCTATAGTGTGAGGAGTAATGGAAGTTCAACCCCTAAGTATAGATATATAATAATATATATAAAACTAATAATAAGGAACTCTTCTTATTTTAAATTGTTAGTAAGAATAGCCTCAATTATATATTTAATTGTATTTTTAGCCTTATTAATACCGAAATATAAGAGGGGTTTGATTGGTTAATAGTATAAATTAATATTCGTTGTTAATATATTAGCGCTACCCCCCCTCTTATTACTATTACTAATTTTAATATTACAATACGAATTTCTATTAAAAAGGTTTATCCCTAAATAAAGTCCTAATTTTATATTTTTTATACTAATAAAAATTTTATTAAAAAGTTTAAAGAGAAATAGAGTAGAATAATTACCGCCGTTATTACTTAAATAATTGCTATTAATTAATAAGTATAAGAGGCCGGGTAGAACCGGCCCTCTTAGAATAAGAGAATATCTATTTATACGGACTAGAATCTCTATTTATACGGACCCCCACTTCTTTTTCCCATATACAACCCTAACCCTGGCGAATTTCAACCGACCCGCACCCATCTAGCACGTACCGAACCCGCCAAGCTCCCAGATTTCAACCCATTACACCCATCTAAGGGTTACACTAGCCACCCTCGTACTATACTAGCTACCTAACCAATTTAATTTAATAATTATTCTAATATATACTTTATCGTATTACTTCCTCTACCAAACTATATATTATTACCCTTATTACCTATAATTAATCTACTACCCTATATATTACTAAGTACTACTAAAGTAAACAAAGCGCTTACATTTAGTCGATAGTACGGATTAATATATTACTTTTCAATGCATTTCCCTAATTAACCGTAATATAAATAATTAATACAACGACTCCCTAGCTGACGGATATATACGACCATAGCGCTCCCGACCCGACTAACCTTATATCTACCTAATTACCCAATTATAATAGTAATAACGAATTTAACAAAAACCCTCTACTCTATAAAGTATTTACAATTTAATATAATTATTTCAATAAAGTTACTAAAGCGGTGAAGGACTAGGGTAAAGAATACAATTATTAATTTATTAAAATGAAAATTAATAATACCCGTAATCGAGAATTTGGACCAACTAGAGCCGACTTTAAATATAACCGTAGCAAGATATATAAGAGTACAGTATATAATCGTACTACTTTAATATTAAAAATAGAATACCCTTAAAGAAGGATTACTAGGGCATTATCAACCAATAATATAAAGTAGACCTTCGAAATTAAAGATGGCTATAAATATCATACCCATCCTTCTAATAAAAATGCACAGATCTAGGGGGTCTTTCAAACCGAATATAGAACCTTCGTTTTTTAGTATTTTAACCGACCCAACGTTAGGAATCGCTATATTATTAAATAATTGTATAACCAATTTCTAAAGTTTTATTTTACTAATAAGCAATTAATAAATCTTCGGTACCGTCTTAAGAGGGAGTCTAATATAAATTATAATTCCTTTTAACTTACAATAAAGTTTCTTACAAAGAAGGGGGTCTACTTTAAAGTTAATTAAATAAACGGTACTTAAAATAATAAAAATAAACCGACTACCCTCTATTAGAATAATCCCTAGGGAGAGGAACTTTAGCGTTAGAACCCTACCGTTTAAATATATAATAATACGTATAAGACTAATAATAAGGGATTCGCCTTCTTTCAAATTATTAGTATAATTAGTACTAGGCATGTTTTTAATTATAGATTTAGGTTTATTAATAACGAGAGATAAGAGGGATTCAATTAGTTAATAAATTAAATTAATACCTATCGTAAAACTATTAATACTAATAAACCGAAAATTACTATAACCAATTACAATCCGGTAATAAGGGTAGCTATTAAATAAATCTATCTAGAAGTACGCTCCTAATTATATATTTTTTATATTAATAAAAATATAGTATTAAATATTAAGTATAAATAGGATAAGAAGGTCGCCGCTTAAGTAAACTACGCTTATACTAATGCAATCACTATATAGATATAATAAGAAATATCAGCATTGACCTAGCGAATAGCCTAATCGACCTAGCTAATCTAATTAATATATTTACTTAATAATATAACAATTCTAAATAAATTTAATAATAAGGATCGTAATATCGTTACCCGTATAAATAAATTAGTAAATAGTACGGTTTAATTAAACGCTCTCCCTAATATTATAAAATATTCTCGTACTAAACTTTACAATTTATAGAAGTATATATATTATATTTATATTATTAAAATATTCAATATTATTTAGAAGAGGCTCGAGAGCTTCTTTAAGTAATAGATTGAGATTATTATGTATTTAAGAGAAACGTATATAGTGGTTAAGTAGGAGTGGGCTACTTATTATATTAATAAGAGACTTAATTTTAGCTATCGTACTATATTCCTAATTGAATCGGCTAATTAAAATTTAAAGAGTTTTATTATTAATAGTAATACTCCTAACTATATTACCCCCTATATATTCTATAGTATACTAATTATCATATAATATATAGGCAATAATCCAATTATTAACACTATTACTCAAAACTTCCGCCTCTTTAATATAATAAAATACTAAATTAATAAATACGCTAAGAAAGAGACGCAACTTACCTAATATCACCACCTCAATATAGACTAGTTAGAAAATACCCCGCACTAGGTATATTAGTAAAATCTCGAATTAGTTATAAAGTAGTACTATATTACTCTAGGTA